TGTGTCCCCTTTCTTCGTGCTTGTAGGGTTTGGGGAGCCTAGACGACTGATATATATATATATAATTCGATTCCGCGCTCGTATTGTGAGGGGCTAGTGATCGCCCTAGAGGTTTGTCGTATGTCCCCCCCATTTCCTGTTCCTGAGATTTGGTAGGGGCCTAGAGCTTTGTCGTATGTCCCCTCCTTTCGCCCCTTCGTGTTGTAGGGGTTTTGTTGGGCCTTGAAGGCTTGTCGTGTGTCCCCTTTCTTCGTGCTTGGAGAGTTTGAGGAGCGTCGAGATGACTACCATACATCATTTGCTTCCGTGCTCGTACTATGTGGGGTTAGTGACTGCCCTAGAGGTTTGTCGTATGTCCCCTTCCTTCGTCCCTTCGCGTTGTATGGGTGGTAAGGGTTTTGTGAGGGCCCTGGAGGCTAGTCGTATATCCACTTTCTTCGAGCTTGTAGGGTTTGGGGGGGAGCGTCTAGAGTCTAGATGATCGTCATATATGATTTGCTTCCGTGCTCAAACTATGAGGGGCTAGTGACTGTCATAGAGGTTTGTCATTTGTCCCCCCCGTTTCCTTGGTCCTGTGATTTGGTAGGGGCTTAGAGGTTTGTCATACGTTCCCTCGCTTCGTCCTTTCGTGTTGCAAGGGTTTTGTGAGAGCCCGGCAAATTTGCCGTATGTCCCTTTTCTTCTTGCTTGTAGGGTTTGGGGAGCGTCTAGACGACTGACATATGTAATTTGATTCCGGGCTCGTATTGTGCGGGGCTAGTGACTGCCCTAGAGGTTTGTCGTATGCCCTCCGCTTGTTCCTGTGATGTAGTAGGGGCCTACAGGTTTGTCGTGTGTCCCCTTTCTTGGCATCTAGATGATTGTCATAAGACATTTGCTTCTGTGGTCGTATTGTGAGGGCTATTGACTGCCCTAGAGGTTTGTCGTATGCCCCCCTGCTTCGTGTTCCTGTGAGTTGGGAGGGGCCTAGAGGTTTATCTTTTGTCCCCTCCCTTCGTCCCTTCGTGTTGTAAGGGTTTCGTGAGCGCTCTGGAGGTTTTTCGTATGTCCCCTTTGTTCGTGCTTGCAGGGTTTGGGGAGTGTCTAGATGATTATCATATATCATTTGCTTCCGCAGTCGCTATGAGGGTATTGATTGCCCTAAAGATTTCTCGTGTGCCCCCCCGCTTCGTATTCCTATGATTTGGTAGGGGTCTAGAGGTTTGTCGTAATTCCTCTCCCTTCGTTCCTTCGTGGGATGTTTGCGTGTGTCCCCTTTCTTCGTGCTTGTAGGGTTTGGGGAGCCTAGACGACTGATATATATATATATATATAATTCGATTCCGCGCTCGTATTGTGAGGGGCTAGTGATCGCCCTAGAGGTTTGTCGTATGTCCCCCCGATTCCTGTTCCTGAGCTTTGGTAGGGGCCTAGAGCTTTGTCGTATGTCCCCTCCTTTCGCCCCTTCGTGTTGTAGGGGTTTGTTGGGCCTTGAAGGTTTGTCGTGTGTCCCCTTTCTTCGAGCTTGGAGAATTGAGGAGTGTCGAGATGATTACCATACATCATTTGCTTCCGTGCTCGTACTATGTGGGGTTAGTGACTGCCCTAGAGGTTTGTCGTATGTCCCTTCCTTCGTCCCTTCGCGTTGTATGGGTGGTAAGGGTTTTGTGAGGGCCCTGGAGGCTAGTCGTATATCCACTTTCTTCGAGCTTGTAGGGTTTGGGGGGAGCGTCTAGAGTCTAGATGATCGTCATATATGATTTGCTTCCGTGCTCAAACTATGAGGGGCTAGTGGCTGTCCTAGAGGTTTGTCATTTGTCCCCCCCGTTTCCTTGGTCCTGTGATTTGGTAGGGGCTTAGAGGTTTGTCATACGTTCCCTCGCTTCGTCCTTTCGTGTTGCAAGGGTTTTGTGAGAGCCCTGCAAATTTGCCGTGTGTCCCCTTTCTTCTCACTTGTAGGGTTTGGGGAGCGTCTAGACGACTGACATATAATTTGATTCCGTGCTCGTATTGTGAGGGGCTAGTGATTGCCCTAGAGGTTTGTCGTATGTCCCCCCGATTCCTGTTCCTGAGATTTGGTAGGGGCTTAGAGCTTTGTCGTATGTCCCCTCCTTTCGCCCTTCGTGTTGTAGGGGTTTTGTTGGGCCTTGAAGGTTTGTCGTGTGTCCCCTTTCTTCGTGCTTGGAGAGTTTGAGGAGCGTCGAGATGATTACCATACATCATTTGCTTCCGTGCTCGTACTATGTGGGGTTACTGACTGCCCTAGAGGTTTGTCGTATGTCCCCTTCCTTCGTCCCTTCGCGTTGTATGGGTGGTAAGGGTTTTGTGAGGGCCCTGGAGGCTAGTCGTATATCCACTTTCTTCGAGCTTGTAGGGTTTGGGGGAGCGTCTAGAGTCTAGATGATCGTCATATATGATTTGCTTCCGTGCTCAAACTATGAGGGGCTAGTGGCTGTCCTAGAGGTTTGTCATTTGTCCCCCCCGTTTCCTTGGTCCTGTGATTTGGTAGGGGCTTAGAGGTTTGTCATACGTTCCCTCGCTTCGTCCTTTCGTGTTGCAAGGGTTTTTGTGAGAGCCCTGCAAATTTGCCGTGTGTCCCCTTTCTTCTCACTTGTAGGGTTTGGGGAGCGTCTAGACGACTGACATATAACTTGAGTCCGTGCTCGTATTGTGAGGGGCTAGTGACTGCCCTAGGGGTTTGTCGTATGCCCCCCCCCCGCTTCCTTGTTCCTGTGATGTAGTAGGGGCCTACAGGTTTGTCGTATGTCCCCTGCCTTCGTCCTTTCGTGTTGTAAGGCTGATAAAATTTTTCTGAGGGCCCTTGGAGATTTGTCGTATGTCCCCACGCTTCGTGTTCCTGAGATTTGGTAGGGGCCAGAGATTTGTCGAATGTCCCCTCCTTTCGTCCCTTCGTGTTGAAATTGCTTTGTTGGGGGAAGGTTTGTCGTATGTCACCTTTCTTTCTTCTTAGAGGGTTTGGGGATCTTCTAGAAAACTGTCATATATCATTTGCTTCCGTGCTCGTATTATGAGGGGCTGGTGTTTGTCATAGAGGTTTGTCGTATGTCCCGCCGCTTTCTGTTCCTGCGATGTGGTAGGGGCCTAAAGAGGTATGTCGTGTGCCCCCTCCCTTCGTCCCTTTGAGTTGCAAGGGTTTTGTTGGACCTGGAAGATTTATCGTATGTCTCCTTTCTTCGTGCTTGTAGGGCGTGGGGAGCGTCTAGATGATTATCATATATGATTTGCTTCCGTGCTCGTATTATGAGGGGCTAGTGACTGCCCTAGAGGTTTGTTTTATGTCTCCCTGCTTCGTGTTCATGTCATTTGCTAGGGTCCTGGAGATTTGTCGTATGTCATTTTACCATATACGAAATTAGATACAATCCCTTCGTCCCTTCGTGTTGTAAGGGTTTCGTGAGGGTCCTAGAGGTTTGTCGTATGTGCCCTTCCTTCGTCCCTTCTTGTTGTAAGGGTTTTGTGAGGGCCCTGCAAATTTGCCGTATGTCCCTTTCTTCGTGCTTGTAGGATTTGGGCAGCGTCTAGATGATTGTCATTATCATTTGCTTCCGTGCTCGTACTATGAGGCGCTAGTAACTGCCCTAGACCTTCAGGGCCCTCACAAAACCCTTACAACACGAAGGGACGAAGGGAGACGACATACGACAAACCTCTATCATCTAGATGCTCCCCAAACCCTACAAGCAAGAAGAAAGGGGACATACGACAAACCTCCAGGGCCCTCACAGAACCCTTACAATAGGAAGGAATGAAGGGAGGCGACACACTACAAACCTTTAGGCCCCTACCAAATCACAGGATCACGAAGCGGGGGCGTCATCTGACAAACCTCCAGGCCAATCACTAGCCCCTCATAATACGAGCACGGAAGCACATGATATGTGATTATCATCTACACACTCCCCAGACCCTACAAGCACGAACAAAGGGGACATACGACAAACCTCCAGGACCCTCCCAAAACCCTTACAACACGAAGGGACGAAGGGAGGGGACACACGACAAACCTTTAGCCCCCTACCAAATCACAGGAACACGAAGCGGGGGGACATACGACAAACCTCTAGGGCAGGCACTAGCCCTCATAATACGAGCACGGAAACACATCATATATGATAATCATTTTGATGCTCCCCCAAAACCTATAAGAACGAGAAAGGGGAAGCACACAAACCTCCAAAGCCCTTACAAAACCCTTACAACACGAAGGGACGAAGGGAGGGGACATACGACAAACCTCTGGACCCTACCAAGTCACAGGAAACACGAAGCGAGGGTGCTTGCCTAAGTCTGGCTGTTGGCCGGCTGGATCTACATTTACTGCTACTACTACTACTACTACTACTACTACCTACTACCTACTACTACTACTACTACTACTACTACTACTACTACTACTACTACTACTACTACTACTACTACTACTACTACTACTACTACTACTACTACTACTACTACTACTACTACTACTACTACTACTACTACTACTACTACTACTACTACTACTACTACTACTACTACTACTACCTACTACTACTAGAAGTTTTGTAAATAGTAAACAAAGGGGCGTGCCAAATAGACCCTAAAGGTCCATGCCACATATGTATATAGAGATGTATGTATGTATGTATGTATGTATGTATGTATGTATGTATGCATGCATACATGCATGCATGCATGCATGCATGCATGCATGCATGCATGCATTCATGCATGGATGCATGCATGTATTTTACACCACGTAGAAGGGAGCCCTATAACGCATGCCCAAAACCGTGAACGTAAGCCCCGAAACCTCAAGGCCACAAAAGCGCGCACGCGCGCGCAGGTCGAGGCGCGAGCCTCGATATTGGAGAGAAGGACCACAGCGCCTCGGGTGCTACGGAACTCAGCACTCAAGGCTTTATTTGTAAGGGGAGTTAAGTTAATGAGAAAGATACTTAGAGTCTGATAGTAAATATTTGCCCCCAAGTATTTGCTAAGTAGAGTCTACGTATCTTCCGATGGGCTCCTAAACCCTGAGCCCTCCCAAGCGTGCCTAGTCAGGTTTGCAGAGAGGCTTGGCCTCACTCCTTGATAGTAAGGAAGGAGGGACTCGATAGCAGCAGTATTTCTGAAGGGATCCCAAACCAAGTCCCTACTTCAAGGTTTAGGGATTCAGGGTTTAGGGTCTTTAAGATTTACATAGGGTCTAAGCTTCTAACCCCGGAGGCGCGAATGACATGGCAGCTTAGGAGAGTGTCAGGAAAACCAGCCCCAGGAACCCGGCCTCTTCCCTAAACCCTAAACCCTGAACCCTAAACCCTAAACCCTAAACCCTAAACCCTAAACCCTAAACCCTAAACCCTAAACCCTAAACCCTAAATGGACTCCTGAGTCTCTACGAAGAGCCCTGAGCCGCAACGCCACGATGATGATGCACTCCTTGGTTTAGGGTTTAGGGTTTAGGGTTTAGGGTTTAGGGTTTAGGGTTTAGGGTTTAGGGTTTAGGGTTTAGGGGTTTAGGGGTTTAGGGGTTTAGGGGTTTAGGGGTTTAGGGCTTGAAAGGGACCCTTGCAAGGCATCTCCGGGCTCGTCACGGCTTAACCTTCGGGTCCAATTTAAAAGCCACCAAGAAAGCTGAGACCCCTTCGAGCCAGGCACTGGCGGCATGTTGGGTTCAGGGTGAACTGTAGGAAGGGGTAAGAGGTGTACAAGAGCTGCCAAACTAAGGGGCCCGCGCGAAAGGCCCTTGCAACGACCCTAAGCGTCCGAAGCCACCCCAAACAACCCTAAACAACACTTGAGCCCTAATTCGTAAACCCTAAACCCTAAACCCTGAACCCTAAACCCTAAACCCTAAACCCTAAACCCTAAACCCTAAACCCCCGAACTCCTGAGGTGATTGGGCCCCTGCGGCTGTTGCAGGGCGGTGACGCCCTCATCGTGCGGCACCCCATCTTTTCCCCTTTTGCGCCTTGGTCTGACGCACCTTCGTTTTTTGTTGGAGGGTTTAGGGTTTAGGGTTTAGAGGGGGCTTGGGGGGCGATGTTTCGGGGTTTTAGGATCCAGGACTTGGGAGGTTTTGGGTTCATAAGGTCTCGGGCAGGCTTTAGCCCAGTAGGCCCTTTGGGAGATTTTATGTTTTCCCTCTATGGTTTGAAGAGGATCATATCCAGGAGTATTTTTCAGATGGTTTTAAAGGGCTATCCTGTTTCCGTAGAAGTTCTTGGTGGTCTTGGGGCCTTTCGGGAGGTTGGGGGGGGGGGGCTTTATTCTTGGGTATGCGAACCATGAGCTGTGCGATTTAGGGTTTAGGGGTTTAAGGGCTTAGGTTGTAGGGTTGGGGGGGGGGGCTTCATGAGGGGTAGGTGCCTAGGAACTTTAAGGGAAGCTGAATGAGCCTTAGACATCAATGGGGTTTTTTTTGGGGGACCTTGGGTTGCAGAGGCCCCCCTTGAACCCGAGCACACCAGGGTTGGGTCTCGCAGGTTGCCGCAACTAGGCCTAGTTCTCCTTAAAATTGCCTTCATTAGAGGGGGGAAACTCAGGGGGGGGGGAGTATAGAGAGAGGGGGTAGTAGGGGAACCCATGAGAGACTTTAGGGTATGAGAGAATCCCTATAAGCTTGGGCGGGCAGTTCTCCACAGTGTGGTCTCCTTAGGAGTGCCTGATGCAAGATATTGAACCCTTCCATTGGGGGGGCATGCCAAAAGAGGCTTAGTGGTGTTTGGGGGTTGGGATTTTGGGGTTTGGGAGGGCTGCCCATATCTAGGAACCATACCTAGCAAGTTTGCACACCCCATGCACCCCTCGGGCGAAAGCTGCTGTGACCTCTTCGAGGGAAGGTTTAGGGTCGCCACGATACATCATACCTTTCCGTGTTGGGTTTAGGCAGGCCTTGTCTACACCCTTAAAAACAAAAACACCAAGCATCTCTAGATCCCCACCACCCAAACCCCCAAGAAACCCAATCCCTAGGCACAAGAAAGCACCCGAATCCCTTCCCCCCCGCCCTCCCAAAAAAAAAATCTCCCAAATCCCCCTAAAATCCCCTCAAGAATCCTTATACCTGGAGCAAGCCGACCTCGAGAGGGATGTATCAAGTTGCCGAACGGATCTTCCCGCACTGCCCCTGTGGAGGCGCCGCAGTACTTGCCCGATGCATACGCCTTGGCGTGCCCTGGCCTCCAAGCCCTGTTTTCGGGTTTAGGGTTTAGTGCTTGGGTTAAGGGGTCTTTTTGGTTTTTGGGGTGTAGAGCTTTAGGGCGCGGGGCCCTAACCCCAAAGTGTCGGGTGTTGGGCTCCGGGCTCCAAGTAGGATCTGAGGTTTAGGGCCTGTTTAGGGTCTTGGCTTTCCGTTTCACTTCGGCGCAGGGGGTCTTACTCGGCACGTTCCTGGGGTACGGTGCTGTAGGGTTAGGGGCTTCACCCTAGACCCGAAAAAACCCTAAACCCAAAACCCTGAACCCTAAACCCTACCTTTGCTGAGCCTTGTCAGTTCTCAGCATCTGAGCCTAAAGCCGTTTCTGGAGGAAGCGCGTTCTTATGTTGGCCTATATGCCCTAAACCCTGCAAACCCTCCAAGCCCCGAATGTTCCACAACAGGACGTTGCCACTTGTACCCACCTCCCCCAAACCCCTTAACCCTGAACCTCTTAGGGGTAGGCCCCCAAACAACTGAACCCTAACCCCCTCAACCCTAAACCCTAAACCCTAAACCCTAAACCCTAGACCCTAAACCCTAAACCCTAAACCCTAAACCCTAAACCCTAGACCCTAGACCCTAGACCCTAGACCCTAGACCCTAGACCCTACACCCTACACCCTAGACCCTAAACCCTAGACCCTAGACCCTAGACCCTAGACCCTAGGCCCTAAACCCTAAACCCTAAACCCTAAACCCTAAACCCTAAACCCTAAACCCTAAACCCTAAACCCTAAACCCTAAACCCTAAACCCTAAACCCTAAACCCTAAACCCTAAACCCCAAACAAACTGCAGGGACGGCGTCAACTACACCCGCATTTGCTCCGTGCCGGGCTTCCGATCGGAAGGCTGCACGTATCCCGGCCCTGAGGAGGCGCGCGGTGTTCCCCCCCCCCCCCCCCCCACCGCCTGTAGTTAGGGTTTAGGGTTTAGGGTTTAGGGTTTAGGGTTTAGGGTTTAGGGTTTAGGGTTTAGGGTTTAGGGTTTAGGGTTTAGGGTTGAGGGTTTAGGGTTTAGGGTTTAGGGTTTAGGGTTTAGGGTTTAGGGTTAGCCCCTTGCGTAGAACCCTGTACAGACGCGATAAAGACCTCCTAAACGACCAAGGCAAATGTGCAAAAACCCATAACTGTAAAGCCCCGAAACCCGAGTGCCCTAAACCATCAACCCTCAACCCTATACCCCCTATAAACCCTAAGCTGACTTCGGTTGTTGAGGGCTTTAAGGGTTTAAGGGCATAAAGGTGCAGCGGTGCAAAGGGTTAAGGGTGTAAGGGTTCAAGGGTTTAAGGTCTAAGGGTTCAGGAGTTAAACCCTAAACCCTAAACCCTAAACCCTGAACCCAGGGTTCAAGGGTTTAAGGGTGTAAGGGTCTTAAGCCCTAGGACCCGCACACCAGGGGATCCGAAAGCCGGCAGGTTTCCCGCAAAGCGTGACAACCTTCCATACGCCACAACTCCGTGTGAAAGGGAGGTTGAGGGGTTTAGGGGTTTAGGGGGTTAGGGGTTGGGGGGGTCAGGGGTTCAGGGGCTTAGGGGTTTAGGGGTTTAGGGGTTTCGGGAGTTAGGGGGGTTTAGGGGTTTCGGGGTTTAGGGGTTTAGGGCTTTAGGGGTTTAGGGGTCTAGGGTTTGGGGTTTAGGGCTTAGGGTTTACCTGGAACTCTATATTGCCTAATTTGTAGACAAAGCGACTCCCAGCTAGTGCTTGGACAGGTCATTGTACCCTAAACCCTAAACCCTAAACCCTAAACCCTAAACACTATTCCCTAAAGAAGGAAGCTCAGGCCCATGATTCTGCGCAAATCCCCAAGATCTGGAGTCCTGTCCACGAAGCCCGGAGGGTACCAAACCCTAAACCCTAACCCCGTTGCCCTAAAAGTCCCCTAACCCCTAAACCCTAAACCCTAAACCCTAAACCCTAAACCCTAAACCCTAAACCCTAAACCCTAAACCCTAAACCCTAAACCCTAAACCCTAAACCCTAAACCCTAAACCCTAAACCCTAAACCCTGAACCCTAAGCGCCTAGAAGCCTAGAAGCCTGAAAGCCTCAAGCCATCAGGGTGGAACACAGACGTACTTCTGGGGCTTCGTCACAATGCTCGCCAAGGTCGAAGCATCTTGGCCTGACACCCTTAAATCCGAGCTTCGGGTTGAGGGTTGGGGGTTTAGGGTTGAGGGTTGAGGGTTGGGGGTTGGGGGTCGAGGGTTGAGGGTTGAGGGTTGAGGGCTGAGGGCTGAGGGTTGAGTGAACTTCACAGATGTACCCATAGTAAGGCTGTGAAGTTGGTAGTGGTCTACGTGAGGTAACCATAATACGGACTGGATGGACGGAAGCTCCCAGCCCCTGAATACTTTCATGGTTCATAGACCCTCTAAACCACACAGTATTCTAGTCATAGTAATAGTACCAGTAATCGCAACATTTCAACAATCAAGCCTTCTCCACGCTGTGCACAATGAGCCCGACCCAGGATCTCACGGCCCCAGTCCAACTTGAGCGGTTGGAACTTGGAGCACACCGTGCCGCTACTGCACTGAGAGGGCTCTGGAATGGGTTTATATAGGGATTCAGGGGTTTCATGTTTACGGGCTAGGGCGTAAGGGTGTAGGAATTGGGGTTGAGGGGTGTACGAGTTTCGGGTTTGGAGCTCAGGGTGTGATCGTAGCCTATCACCTGGGACGCGCATCACCCCAGTCGGGTTTAGGGCCTAGTTAAGCAGTCCCTAAACCCTAAACCCTAAACCCTAAACCCACAGATTATTTCTGATGAAACAGGCGCCTGTCGCAAACAGCTGCTGAGCCAGCCTCGATATGCGGCTTATACAGGGCTGCAGGCTTAGGCGTGGTGGGGTGGGCTGGGGGTGGGGGCGATTTAGGGTTTATAGGGTTTAGGGTATAGGGTTTAGGGTTCGGGGGGTGGGCGGGGGGGGGGGCATTTATCGAGCATGTCTTGCGCAGCACGAACGCACTGTCCGTGCCAGAAATGGATCATGCAAAAGACTCAAGAAGCATCTGGACCCCGAGTGTATACATAGACACACCCACCGCGTGCCTATCTGCGTAGATTCACTAGCATTTCTGTAAACAGCCCACCAGCCCTAGAATCCCAAAATGCACACCAAACCCCACCCTAAACCCTAAACCCTAATCCCTAAACCCTAAACCCTAAAGCCCCCAAAAGAATGGACCCAGGCGTCGCGGGAATGGAGGACTTCGCCTTCGCCTACCGGGTCTTCGACAACGATCCGCATCCGTCCCTGGCCAGGGGCTCAAGCGCGGATTCTCTTTTTTTCCGGTGCCCTTGGTTTGGTGTAGTCCTGTTCTAAGGGCTACAAGGGGTGCGAATAGAGAGAGAGAGAGAGAGAGAGGCAGCGCCGTTCGGCGGGGCTTTGCGCAGCCACAAAGGCTAGGAGTGATGCGATGGGGACCCATCCTCCCACCCCCAAACCCTGCAAAGTCCCAAACTCCTATACCCCGAAACCTTGAAACCCGCCCCAAAGCCGTGAACCCTAAACTAGTGAACCCTGAACCCGACATGGGAGTTTTTCCATGGGAACCCTGCACCACCCCATGCAGATCTGGCATAAGACGAGGGACTCCCCGAGCCCTCCAAACAAAAAAATCGCCCCCCCCCCCCCCCCCCCCAAACCCCCTGCAAACCCCAGGGTTCAGGGTTTCGGAAGCCCCTCCCAACCCTAAACCCTAAACCCTCTACCCTAAACCCGAAACCCGAAACCTTAAACCCCCCAAGAACATGTAAGTTCTCGGACCCAGGATGACGCCATCTACTGCCAGTCCGCGCAGGCCCAGGGCTGGATGGACTTTGTGGAGGCACGCAGGGCTTTAGGGTTGAGGGTTTAGGGTTTAGGGTTTAGGGTTTAGCGCTCGGCGTGAGGGATTTGAGGGTTTAAGGGATATTGGGGTTTAGGGCTTAGGGTTTATGAGAGGTATTCGGGCTTTGGGAAAACAGGGAGCCCTATTGTACATGAAGCTCCGAAACTTATACAAGGAACCCCAAGAAAGGACAAGAGCACCAAAAACCCTCAGGACTCAGAATCTGAGAGCCCTTGGAAAACACTATCCCAACCAAACCCCCCAAACCCTAGAAACGTGAAGAGCCTTACGAAATAAAGCCCAAAAGCACCCTAAGAAACCCTATCAGAAGCTTAACAAACACAAGAACCTCCAGGAAGCCCTGAGACCCAAGACCCTAAATCCTAAACCCCCTTAAACCCTAAACCTTAAACTCTCTAAGCCCCTAAGTCGGAATTCAAGGAGCCCGAAACTTTCCCGCCTGGGAGCTCTGCAGGTGAAGGTGCTTGCGGAGGAGCTGGGCATCGACTGGACGCTGCAGGTTGGAACAATAACATTCCCACCGCCCCGCCCCCCCGCCCGACCCCCCCCCCCCCCCCCCCCCCCGCCCCCCCCGCCCCCCGCCCCCGACCACCCCCTCCGCCCCCCCCCCCCGCCCCCGCCCCCCCCCCCCACCCCCCCCCGCCCCCCCCCCCCCCGCCCCCCGCCCCCCCCCCCCCCCAAAAAAAAAAACAGAGAGGTGTTTTGAACAGGGCACCCTGAACCCCCCCCCAAAAAATATAAATAAATAAGTACTAAAAAAGTGCAACAAAACCAAAATCTTCCTTGGATCCTAAGTTTGGGGTGTGAAGTTCATCGTAGCTGCATGGGTGCCCTACACATCAAGGGCCGATGACGGGGACCCAAAGAAACGATAATCTAGAGAACTGACCTTCGGAGCTACCCTAAGCCCCAATCCGACAAGATATCCCTAAACCGTATACATAGCCCTAAACCCTAAACCCTAAACCGTATAGCCCGACACCCTAAACTTACAGAACCCCTAAGCCCCTGAAGCGTGAACACACATGAGGTGATGCTCCTGAAGCCCTAAACCCTGTAGCCCTAAACCCTAAAACATAAACCCTACTGAACCCTAAGCCCTAAACCCTAAACCCTAAACCCTAAACCCTAAACCCTAAACCCTATACCCTATAAACCCTAAACCCCTGTGGAGATCAGGTGATGCCCCTCCACGGCTGGCCGCTGGTCTCAGCGGACTTCTGGCGACAGCTACTCGCAGCCCTGGCCGCACAGGGTTTAGGGTTTAGGGTTTAGGGTTTAGGGTTTAGGGTTTAGGGTTTAGGGTTTAGGGTTTAGGGGTTTAGGGTCTGAGGGTTTAGGGTTTGAGGTTTAGGGTTTGAGGGGTTTTGAGGGTTTGAGGTTTAAGGTTAAAGTTGGGGAGCGTTTTTGTGCGATTAGTAGGCATAGGTTGGAACCGCCCATGAGGCTCCGCTTCAATGCTGAAGAAGGTTTCGGGGTTCAGGGTTTACTTGGACTGTACTTAGAACTGGCTTATAACCATATTAGGGCACTTAAGGGGCTTTACAAGTACAGTCATAATCGGTTCATAAGTACCCTGAACCTCCAAGTAGGATTTGACTTCAAGGGGTCCTTCTTGACTGCCCAGGTGGTCTTGCCCATGACCGGGCTGCTAGGCGTGGGTCTTGGCATCAGCATCCTGGTCACGATGCGCAAGCGTGCGCAGCAGCTGGTAAGGCGATGGGGGGGGCTGCGGAGTTGTTTTCCTCGACTGCTCTGAGGGAAGTAGCATGCAGAAGGTGTTCGAATAGGTGACCCCTCTTACAGGGCTCTTCAAAAGAAGGGTTGAACCAGGCTTCGGGATCTGAGGGCAAGGGTTTAGGGTTTCTGTTGGATCAGGTCTCTGTGTGGTTTAAGGCTGTATCGGGATGAGTCATGTTTAGGGCATGAGCCCCGAACCTGAAACTGCCACGTGCAAAGAGGCTTACAGTCAACGGCCCCGAAACACGGAATGCGGACCCCTGCTGAAAAGAGCAAGATTGTAATCCCCCTAACGCCCTTGAGCCCCAAGCCCGAAAAGTCTGATGTTTCTTAGGGTGCCAGAGGGCGCAGCCTGTGCAATCCTCCCTGACGCCAGGCTTGAGGAGTATCGCAGGGAAGTGCAACTTGCTTGACAGATTGGGGGGGAGGGGGGCTCCGCGAAGTAGCTGAGATTCCGGCTTCTAAGTGCTTGACGCACGCAACGGCATCGCAGTGGCACAGTTCGTCAGGAAAAGATCTGGACCTCGAAGCAATTGCATGCTGCATTTTGCCCTTGGCTGCCAGGCCCAGCTTGACAGGCTCCGGGCCGTTAAGACCCTAATGAGCCCAAGTGGCCCGCTGAACCCGCCGCCAAGAATGATGCCATATCCCAGCTTCAAGTGCGTTTCTTTTTTTACAAGCTCAAGCCCCCCAAAATCCCTCGTCTTCAAGAAAAGCCTTACAAGCCTTATAAGCTTCAACTAAACTCCCGAAAGCCTTATAAGCCTTCCACTAAACTCCCGAAAGCCTTCTAAGCCTCAACCCGGATTCCTATCCGAGCCCATTGTCTATCAAGAGCGAAGCATCCAAGCGGCTATCAGGCACTTAGCCTGAACCTGAAGAGATCTCCACTCACCCCCTCCCCCCCCTCGGCTCTGCGCATGATTGCCTGAGAACCCCCTGAGCTCGATTGTCCGCTCCCCGAGGATCGCCAGGACCATCTTGGCGTCCCTCGCCTCTCCAAGGGGTTTTGAGGGCTTCAGAGGGATCGGAGGATCCCAAGAACCCTTTTTCATTACCCCTTAGAAGCCCACAAGCCCTCTGAAACCCTGTCAACCCTAAACCCCGAAACCCTTGAGAGCCCTTAAGCCCTAAAGAGCCCAAGAAGTCAGAAGAGCTCCTCGTAATGCCTCCTCCTTCTGGGGCTTTCTTTTCGTGGTGGCCTTCCGCGGGATCCTATGATAGGATGAGGTCGAGGGTCTTACGGCAGCCTCTAATGGTCATCAAGATTGTCTCCCTATGCCGATACCCATTCTAAGCAAATAGCCCTCAACCTTATCCAAGTACGCCCTCCTGCCATATTGAGGCTCAAAGGTTCGGGTAGGTCTTCAGTCGGGAGCTTGCGGGTTCAACTGGCATGTCCGGCAGTACCCTCATTCCTGTTTCAGGGTGTAGGCATCCGCGCAAAGCCCTTAGCAAAAAGCGGGCACTCATTTATCTTGCTAGGCAACACTGAGGCCTTCTGAGAATGATTTGCAGGGCCTGCTTCTACACCGTGCACAGCGTAATTCGGCATATGAAGCAGAGTGCAGGACCCAAGATAGGTGAACAAGATTATCCCCTTTGGAGCCCCGGTACATCCTAACATACCCAAGATACTTCATTGAAACTGGACAGGTCATTGCACTGCCTTATTAGACCTGGCATGCGCTCCCAGCCCACTAGACGCAAGTCGAACTTAGCCCTTCTCTAGAATTACCATAATGGGCCCTGAAAATCAGCAACAATCATTATAGTCGTAGTTGCAATCTAGGGAGTACTTTTCGAGGTGTCCTCAAGCAAATCCTAGCATTGGTTTCTGGTTAACGTGCAGACATCCGCTGAAAAGCCATCTTCCCTCGACCCCACTAAGCCCTAAAACCCAATAACCCCAATAGACCCCAAAACCCCAAACCCTGAATCCCAAAACCTAAAGCCCAAAACCCTGAACCCTTAACACTTAAGGCCAAAACCCTGAACCCGAAACCCTACACCCTAAACGACCTTCGCAAAGGTCCATATCGAACCTTGACCTGCTCCAGTTCCCAATGTGCACGGGGCCCCAGCTCACGAGCCTTACTGGGACTTCAGACTTTGGTTTGGGTTTAAGGTTTGGGGTTTAGGGCTTGGGGATGGGGATTTAGGCTTTAGGGTTTGGGATTTAGGGTTTAGGGTTTGGGGTTTGGGGTTTGGGGTTTGGCATTTGGGGCTTGGGGTTTAGCGTTTAGGCTGGGCTTCCCAATGCTGTGAATATTTTAAGCGTGCCCTTCCCTGTTGTGGGGAGAAGGAAGCTTCATGGCTGCCTGAAGCTTCGCTTTGTGAGGGCTTTCAGGATCCTTTGGGTGAGCCTGAAGCTTCTAACCCGGATGTATGTTCAAACAAGTATGTCGTTGGTGATGTATATACATATGTATATACATATGTATATACATATGTATATACATATGTATATACATATGTATATACATATGTATATACATATGTATATACATATGTATATACATATGTATACATAAATTTATATGTGTGTATATACACATACATACGTATATGTATGTATATATATATGCCGTATGACAGCGTCAGCAGCAGCTGCTGCTGATAAGGGCAGCATGAAAATGAGATTCAGACAGCACATCTTAGTCAAGAGCATCTTTGGATCTGTCGAGTCTTTTTATCTGGATCTGCAGATCAGCAGATCCTCTAAACCCCAAGCTCTGGACTCTAGGCCCTAAGATCTTGAGCTTACACCCCTGAACCTTGCGAGGTGGGCCCGCATTGGTTCCAGTTGTTAGAAGGGGCATGGGCATTAGAAGCAGAAGGTTAGATGCTGAAGCGCTCGCAAGTCCTGCCATAGCTATGGCTCAGGGTTTAGAGGTCTACGATAAGGCACTAATTGCCCTAAACCCTGAACCCTAAACCCTAAACCCTAAACCCTAAACCCTAAACCCTAAACCCTTCCCAGGCCTCTTGAAGGTGGAGGACTTCTTGGCCCTGGGGGAGCTCATCTGCCACGAGGACGCGCGCGAAGCGCGGCGCCTGCGCACCTTGGGCTCCAAGAAAGGGTTTAGGGTTTAGGGTTTAGGGTTTAGGGTTTAGGGTTTAGGGTTTAGGGTTTAGGGTTTAGGGTTTAGGGTTTAGGGTTTGGGGTTCTGGGTTCTGGGGTTCTGGGGGGTTTTAGGGTTTTCTTTGAATCGGGCCTTGAGTTTCATTTTAGGGTTTGACTTCATGTTCGTTATATAGGGGCTTATATAGGGACTTTTGGCTGTTTTTATTGTGTCAACGTTCTTTATAGGGGTTGATAGGGCATTTCAGGTTTTTGGCGATAAAGTTGCACAGTGTATAAGGTCCCTGGGTTTGGGCTTGAGAGTTTATAAGGTTCGCATATGCTTTATAAGCTGTAGGCTGTATGGTGTAGGGGGTATCTAGGAAAAAGCTCAGGGAAATTTGGGGCTTAAAGGACATCAGGGGAGAGCAGCAGGGTTTCGGGAATTTAGAGGTTTCGGGCCGGAACGTTTAAAGCTTTCGCGAAATTATGGTTGTCAGGGCTTTTGTGGCTTAAGGAATCAAGGGTTAAGGCCTTAGGGCTTAGGAAATTTTGTGGTTGAGGGGCTTAGGTTCAGGGAATTTGGTGATCTAGGGCCCAGTTTAGGGTTTTCGTGCTTCGAAAGTCTCCAGCTTGGGGGAACAGGGGAAATTTGCATCGGGTTTATGGTTTACGGTTCAGGGTTTAGGGGCTCTTTTGCTTCAAGAGGCCCTCGGTTGAGAGACGGTCAGTTCTCTACATGTTGGTCTCTTTTTAGGGGGGGGGGGGGGGGGGCATTCCTGATAATGTACCCCTAAGCCTTAAAAGGTCCTTTCACTCCAGGGTCCATCGTTTAATTCCCCAGACACATCTGCCTCTTGTTTCGCGACTCTCAAGAGGTCCAACTGCGGCTTTCCATCATTTACGTGCTTCACTCCTCAGGTTGTTTACACCTTAAGTTTTCGGATGTTCCGCCTTATACTAGCAGTCCTGAATAGGGATTATAATGGGGGGTGGCCAGAATCCCTATTAGGGACTGTTAGTAGAAGGGGGAACATCCCAACCTAAACCCCAAGCCCTGGTCGATCCAAGCAAGAGGTCGTTTTAAGCTTTAGCGGCAGCCCGAGAACTGCGAACGCAGGTTGCATTGACGTTGCGGACGAGGCCGCGCGCATGTGTCAGGAGGAGCGGCAACTTGGTGAAGCTCAAACGACCCAGACTCAGAAAGCGCAGCGCAACGCTGCTGAACCCGCTGCCTTTAATGCCCCAATTGGCTTCGGGACCAGTGTGTATGTGTGTGTCGTAGCAGACACGTACTCAGGGGTCTTAGGCTGCAGGGTTTGGGGTGTCGTACCGACCCAAACACGCAAGACCCCTAATTTGGGATGTTCCCCCTTATCCTAACAGCTCCTTAGTAGGGATTCAAACGGTGCTACAATCCCTATTAAGGAGCTGTAGGAGCTGTTAAGTTAGCATAAGGGGAACGTCCAAGACCCCGAATCCCCAAACATTGCGACGCGAGCCGAGACGGGTCGACTGCACGCAGGAAGGGGTGGCTTTCCTCAGCCACCAGTGGGCCAGCTTCGAGCATCCAGATCCGGATGGCGTGCAATACAGGACTGGGAGCTCGGCTCTCTTGGGTCCTGAACGTGGCAGCCCAGTGGTACCCTTTTTAAACCCTAAACCCTAAACCCTAAACCATAAATTTAATAAACCCTGAACCCTCTTCTTGTTTGGGTTCTGGGTTCCTTCATAAAGTAGCCAACCCAAGGAAGGGGATGATTACTGGGCTACCATCAGAATTCCAACTCGGCTTCCAGGTGCCAAGCATAGAAGTTCATCCATAAAAGGGTTTTTTGGTTTAGGGTTTAGGGTTTAGGGTTTAGGGCTTCATGCCTCAGCGGCCGATATGGTGACTTCTCGAAAGTCTGTTCCCTTCTTATAAGGCAGCGACGATGATTTTCAGGGTGCCCAAAATAAGACTCACGATATGTTTTGTGGCAATTTAGGGGCATCCTGGTAATTTTCCTCGGTTCCTGTACTCGAACTTTAAGCTGCCCTGCAGGGCCATGGTCAAGGCCGTCGAGGAAGTTCTGGAACGGGGCATCAAATGCAGCTGGATTTGGGTGGACTACTGCGCTTTTACTGCATGTGGGGTAGGGTCCGATGTATGTTTCGTGGTGTGTGTATATAGATTCCCCTTCTGGAATATGAGTCCCACGTTTCCCCATCCGTTCAGAAAAAAAGAACCCTGATTGACCTGGAAGAAGCCTACTCAAATCCGTAAAGATCCATGGGCCTTATAGGATGACGGTACAACCTGATCTCAGGTACAGAAAATAGATTTCTATAGTACCCCCCTCCCCCCAGTCGTCATTTGTCTCGACAGACGCGCTTCGAGATGGCTTTGGGTTCATTCGGATTTAGGGTTTTGGGTCCTCAGGCCAACTGTGATCCAGCCACTGAAAGTTCCCCAAACGCCGCCTCCTCTGACTGCAGCTGATTGCTAGACAGCCTTGGCAAACCCCCCTAAACCATCACTTCTGTGTTCTTTTAAACCCATGATTGGGTTTTCAGGGTTTAGTTGCGGAACTCGTCGGGTCCCCAGGTCGTTTTGGAATGGGGTTAGATAGGGGCCTGCAACCGCACAGAAGGTACCCACATCTCCAGAAAGCAAACGCACCAAGAACCAGCACTCCAACACCCTAAACCCTACACGGCCAAACCTGTTGGAGTTTGGGGCTTAGGGTGTGCTGAGAAGGCGACGGGACCCAAATCCCAAACAAGCCACCAGAAACTCCTAAACCAAAACCGCAGAACCAGACTGCAGCACTTCGTAGGCTAGCGGCTAGCTCCTTCGTAGGTTTGCTCATGAAGCTCTTGGCCCTCCCCCGATTGGAGAAACCATGAACGGAACTGCTTGAGGCTCCATCCCTCAGCGAAACACATTCCAGCAGCAGACGGCTATAAACTCCCTGCCGCTGGATGGGCATGCAGGACTTTAGAGTTCGAGGGCTCGAAAGTAGGGGTGGCGGTATTTTTTCCGTAGTTTTTTTCCGTTTTTTTTTGTAGTTTTTTTCCGGCCGTCTGGCCCAGCAAGCAAGCAAGCAAGTAAGCAAGCGAGCCAGCAAGCAAACAAGGAAAACAAGCAACGGTACCAGCAAGCAAGCAATCAAGCAGGCAAGCAAGCAAGCAAGCAAGCAAGCAAGCAAGCGAGCAAGCAAGCAAGCGAGCAAGCGGGCCAGCAAGCAAGCAAGCAAGCGAGCAAGCAAACAAGCCAGCCCCCCCCGCTTGGGCTGCGCCCCCCCCCCCCCCCCCCCCCCCAACCCCCCCGCTTTTTTAAACCCTAAACCCTAAACCCTAACCCTTAAACCCCCTAAACCCTAAACCCTAAACCCTAAACCCTAAACCCTAACCCTACCCTAAACCCAAACCCTAAACCCTAAACCCTAAACCCTAACCCCTCACCCTAAACCCTAAACCCTAAACCCTAAACCCTAAACCCTAAACCCTAAACCCTAAACCCTAAACCCTAAACCCTAAACCCTAAACCCTAAACCTAAACCATAAACCCCTAAACCCCAAACACCCTAAACCCCAAACACCCTAAACCCTAAACCCTAAACCCTAAACCCTAAACCCTAAACCCTAAACCCTAAACCCTAAACCCTAAACCCTAAACCCTAAACCCTAAACCCTAAACCCTAAACCCTAAACCCTAAACCCTAAACCCAACCCCCCCGCTTTTTAGCTTCTTTCAAAGCATGTGAATCTTGAAACCCATCATGCAAGCAAACTCATCATGCAAGCATTGAGTTTGCAAATGGGGGGGGGCTGCGCCCCCCCCCAACCCCCCCGCTTTTTTAAGCTAAACCCTAAAACCTAAACCCTAAACCCTAAACCCTAAACCCTAAACCCTAAACCCTAAACCCTAAACCCTAAACCCTAAACCCTAAACCCTAAACCCTAAACCCTAAACCCTAAACCCTAAACCCTAAACCCTAAACCCTAAACCCTAAACCCTAAACCCTAAACCCTAAACCCTAAACCCTAAACCAACCCCCGCTTTTTAGCTTCTTTCAAAGCATGTGAATCTTGAAACCCATCATGCAAGCAAACTCATCATGCAAGCATTGAGTTTGCAAATGGGGGGGGGCTGCCTGCGCCCCCCCCCCCCCCCCCCCCCCCCCCAACCCCCCGCTTTTTTAAGCTAAACCCTAAAACCTAAACCCTACACCCTAAACCGTACACCCTAAACCCTAAACCCTAAACCCTTAACCCTAAACCCTAAACCCTAAACCCTGGGTATATAGGGTTTATAGGGGAGGGCTCAGTACCCCCTCGACCCAAGAGGTTCCCGACCAGCAAGCCAGAAAAAAACTACAAAAAAAAACGGAAAAAAAACTACGGAAAAAAACCCCAGCCCGAAAGTAGGAGGAGGCGCGTGTTCTCTTTGGGGGGTTTAACCCCTAAACCCTAAGCCCTAAACCCAAAGGTCCGAAAAAAACATGACTTGCGAGCCGAGTCAAGTTGGTCAAGGCTTCACAAAGTGCCCCGCCCCACCCCCCATCCCACCAAAGCCCCAAGATGTCAGGGCGAAACCTCAAAGCAAACCCTTTGCAGGTTTAGGGTTTTGGGGTTTAGGGTTTTGGGTTCAGGTTTTAGGGTTTAGGGTATAGGTGTTAGGGTTTAACGTCCATGATGGCGGTAGCAGTGTTCCCTGGATTTGCAGGCGGTGTCAATTTGGTCAGTGCCCTCAAGTATGATCCTTTTTACGGCTCCTGTTCGACCATGTAGCCCTATGTTTAGGTTGCCAAGGGACTAGCGTTTTGAGAACTGCTCATTTCCGGTGTGCATCATGGGACCTCCGGCAGAGTGGTCCTGCTCGTAGGGTAAGACTAGGACGAGAGAACACCTGTTGCTCTTGTGTACATGTGGGTATTTCCAAAAACTAGGTACCCCTTTTATACCCCGAATAGAATACAATCCCCTTCAAGGGACCCCAAAAAGGGTACCCCCATTTTCGGAAACCCGCATGTGTGGCCTCATGTGTTGTGTGTTCTTCTGACTACGATAGTCTGGCTAAGATAAGTTTGTGTGCCCCCTCATACCAAGGTCAGTCTACGCATCTTATTGCTCGGTGTTCCTCTCCGTGGTTCCTCCGTGCATCCACTCAGACACAGGGCAACCGGGCGCAGAACTAGGTAGGAAAACATGCAAGTTGTTATGACCAGGTTTAAGAACCTATGTCCCCCTATATTTTTACTATCATAGATAAGACTATTTTTTGGTAGAATGCATGCCTAAGCAAAGACGGAAGTGAAAGCTGAAGGGCCTCTAGGCTCGAGACCACCAGCACAGGAACACGTAGACCAAATCCCGCATCCAGCGCATTCAGATCTTTCATCCCAAGACTAGGCTACCATAAGTTTCAAAACCTTGAACCACATGAACCTTAAGAATCCTAGAACTCTAAACCCCAACAACCCGAAAACCCCTTTCTTATTCAGCCCACATCCTGACTGATAACTCTCTTGCTGCAACCCCAATGGCAATCTTAAAACTAGTTCAGTCACCCTCTCGTAAACCTCTAGTGGCACCACCATAAGAGCTGAAATAGATAAACCTTAAACATTCTAGCAGAGACCCTAGACCCTAAACCTGCAGGGACTTTTAGGTGTAGGAGGGGTGCTGGGCAGTACCGAAGTTTGTCATCCAGGTAGGACATTGGGACATGCTACGACAAATATATGTGGTGAGTTCTCTACATTCATGGCCCCTTTTTCAGTCCCCTAAATAAGAGGGGTAAGGACCCGAAAAGGGACCAGATTTTGGAGAAGTGACCATGTAGGGAATAAGCACTGCAGCCTTTCTGTCGGGCGGAGCTGGCTGCAGTCAGGCCAAGAGGCTAGTGTTAAGTGTTAAGGGCTCCGGGTGGGTCTTGCTTGTTCGAGTTTAGGGTTTAGGCTTTAGGCTTTAGGCTTTTAGGGTTTAGGGTTTAGGGTTTAGGGTTTAGGGTTTAGGGTTTAGGGTTTAGGGTTTAGGGTCAGCCAGGCATGACATTGACATCAACTCCTACTGCTCGCGCGCGTGGTGTCGTCTGGAGAAGCTGAGCTACGGAGCCTCGCCGAGTAGGGTTTAGGGTTTACAGTTTAGGGTTTAGGGTTTAGGGTTCAGGGTTGAGGGCTTAGGGTTTAGGGTTTAGGGTTCAGGGTTCAGGGTTTAGGGTTTAGGATTTGGGTACCTGTTCCCCAATCTCCCTACTAAGAACCAGTAGATATGTGGCAGCCCCGCACAGTCCAAGGAACCGCCGGATGGAACGCGGATGGGCGCCTAGCCTTCATGTGCACGCAGGAGGGCATTACCAACGATTGGAAGGCCATCTTCGATGACGAGCCCTGACTACATTTTTGGCTTAGAGTTTAGGGTTTAGGGTTTGGGCGGTTTAGGGTTTAGGGGTTTAGAGCAGAGCACGTTGCTCAAAACTGTGGGGCCGTTTGTAGAATTGCAAACTAAAATAGCATTTTGGCAAGCGCAAGGGACCTGACAAGGGGATAAGCCCTCAACCCCCGAAACCCTAAAACCCTAAAACCCTAAACCCTACAAACCCTAAACCCTAAAACCCTACAAACCCTACAAACCCTACAAACCCTAGGAACCCTACACCCTAATCCTACACCCTAAGCACAAACCCTACAAAAACCCACAAACGCTAAGAGCCCTAAGAGCCCCAAGCGCGCCCGAGGAGTCGGTGCTCGATGTGGCAGGGGGTGCCTTCAGCTGCTGCGCACGACGCTGGGTTTTAGTGTTTAGGGGTTTAGGGGTTTAGGGGTTTAGGGGTTTAGGGGTTTAGGGGTTTAGGGGTTTAGGGGTTTAGGGGTTTAGGGGTTTAGGGATTTTAGGGGTTTAGGGGTTGAGGGGTTTAGGGGTTTAGGGTTTAGGGGTTTAGGGGTTTAGGGGTTAGGGGTTTAGGGGTTTAGGGGTTTAGGGGGGGGGGGGGGGTTTAGGGTAGGGTTTTAGGGGTTTAGGGGTTGGGGGGGTTTGGGGGTTTTAGGGTTTAGGGTTAGGGTTTAGGGTTTAGGGGTTTAGGGTTTAGGGTTTAGGGTTGGGAGATTTTGTTTTTGTGGGCTTTCCCTCTGCAGTTGGTAGGGTTTGTAGGGTTTTGTAGGGTTTTGTAGGGTTTGTAGGGTTTGTAGGGTTTGTAGGGTTGTTAGTGTTTTTAGGGTGTAGGGCATTAGAGGTTTTGAAAGATCCAAGCGTGCCATCGGAAGATTTCTGTGTCTTTTCCCTCTTTGGTGGGTGGCTTGGGGGGGGGGGAGGTTCAGGGCTTAGGCTTGTTCTAGATCTTCGCTCTTCGGGTGGAGGGGGGGTTATGGTTTAGGGTTGAGGGTTTTAGGGTTTTAGGAGTTTGTTGGGATGTGGTCCTCTTTGGAGGCTTTAGGCTTTGTAAGGTTTCACCCGAATCCCTGAACCCTAAACCCTCGTTATAAGAAGGCATCAACAAAAGCGCCAGCCGAGGAAACCATCCAGATGGCAAGCCTTGTGACAAGCAGAAAATTGTCGGCCTCGCGGCTGCTGAATGGGGGGTACCCAGGAGCTCTAAGTAGGGGAGGGCGTCGATATTTAAGTTTAGTGTGTAGGGTTTGGGGTGTTTAGGGTGTGCGGTTTAAGGCATTTAGGTGTTTTTTGTTGGGGGGGCGGGGGGGGGGGGGAAAGGGCCTGGCATTTTTGGGTGCTACGCCTAAGAGTCAAGAAGCTAGTCTCTGCGTGAGTCCCTGGCGTGCCGTTAAGAATCTTGCACGCTGTTGACAAAAGAAGGAAGCTTTGTTGTGTGCGTGTAATGGTATATGCACATACTCAATTCTGGTAACTTATTGACATATACAGCAAGCAAGCTCCTCGACAGCAACCCGGATAAGGCGTCCTTCTCGGCATCTACTGGCGCCTTTTGGCCACAGTTCGCGATGCCCCGGAGAACGCAGATAGGCGCACATGGGGGACTCTTGAGCCTCCTGGGCTTAGGGCTTAGGGGTTAGGGTTTAGGGTTTAGGGTTTAAATGACAGGGTTCCTTCCGAAAAACAGCTACCCCAAATCTTGTGTTGAGAAGTGTGTTCCTGATTTACGGAACCCTAAAAGGGTACTTTGATGTCGGGTTGAGCCTGACTTGGTAGCCCCAAAATCTGTGGAGTCCCGAAGGTTCCACTGCCACAAAGGGGTTTCTAGTCTGTGGTCTTATAAAACTCGGTAGGCCCTCGGGATATTTTCATGCTTTCCCTTATTGGGTTGTTGAGGGCCATATTTAGGGTGTAGGGTTTAGGGTTTAGGGTTTAGGGCTTAGGGTTTAGGGTTTAGGCTGAATATTTTTTCAGAGGGGCTTTAAGGGCCATCGTAGAAAGATTTCGATCAGACCCGTGGGGTCGATGCAAATTGTTGCAAGCGCAAGCCCGAGATTGAAATACGGGTAGGGTAAGGGTTCTAGTAAGCATATATATATATATGTACATATATATATAGAGATATATACATATGTATATTTATATACGTATATGTATATATGTATATTGTGTCCTTTGGGGATACTATAGGCTACTAGGAACTCAAGACCCAGATTCACATGTGAAAACGCAAGTGAACAAACCGGCGCTGTGCAGGGCCACGGCGTTGCTCAAGCTGATTGATCAGGATGAGAAGCGGCCTCTTGGCGTGACAGGGTTTAGGGTTTAGGGTTTAGGGCTTAGGGTTTAGGGTTTAGGGTTTAGGGTTTAGGGTTTAGGGTTTAGGGTAAGCGGCCCCAAACACTCCGAACCCTAGGCTTGGCGTGTGGTATTCGGGTTTCGGGTTGAGGGTTTCGGGGTTCTTGTTCAGGTATACTCACCCAAGGGAGCTCCGAAGTATAACCCTCCCTCTACTCCTCCCTAAACCCCTACACCCTCTTTCGCTGACCCTGAACCCTAAGCCCAAAAAACCGCATAAACCCGAAACCCTCAAGCTTGTTGAGGTACTTCCCTCCCTATACATCCTACATCTCCGAAACCGGCTCTACGCGGATTGAGCTCTTCGATGGGTTCTTGCCAGTCCTGCGAGTTTCTTGGCGTGGAGGTTGTAGGGCTTCAGGGCTTAAGGGGCTTAAGGGCGTCTAGGGGCGTTAGGGGCTTAGGGGCTTAAGGGCTTAGGGGCTTAAGGGCGTTAGGGGCTTAGGGGCTTATGGGCTTGAGGGCTTGAGGGCTTAGGTCTTGGGGGCTTAGGATTAGGGCAGGGGGGGGGGGGGGGGGGGGGGGGGTTTGGGGTTTTGAGGCATGGGGTAGCCCTTGGCCATGCAAGGCCTACAGCTTGAGGCTTTTGCTTAGGGCTTGCGGGTTTAGGGCTTCGAGGGTTACAAGGTTGAAGGGAAATAGGTTGAATTCAGGGGTCTTTGGGGTTTAAGGGCTTTTGCCTCCAGATTTCAGGGTTGCAGGTTGTCACTGTGGCAGAATGCCAAACTAGCGTGGAGACTTCGCAAGACTATGTATTTGGGTTCTTCCTGGAAGGGGAGTGGGGGGCAGGGGGGGGGGGGGGGGGGGGGGGGGGGGGGGGGGGGGGGGGGGGGACTTGGCAAAGCGGCACAGGTTTTTTTAAGCACGACCGCTTCCTCATTTCCTTTTTCTTCTCTGGATTTTGATGGCTCTCAAGTCAGGTGGCGTTATCGTTGAGTTCCAGATTTCTTTCTGTAGTCTTTAAGTCGGGACCGGGTGTAGCGCCCTTCCCCCCTTAAAAAGTAAGAAAGAGCGTCAATGAGTTAGGACTCTAGATAAAAAAAAACCCTAAAGATCCGAAAGCCCCTCAAAAACACCCTTCAATCCCGACAAACCTTCAGGACAATCCTCAACGCCGTACAAGCGCACCTTCACTTCTGAAACTTCAAAAAAAGCGCAAAAGCCCCTACAAAAAGCCTTCAAAAGCCACCCTAAACACCCCAAACCCTCAACCCTGAACCCTAAACCCTAAACCCTAAACCCTAAACCGAGGACATGTTCCTTCAGGACACCGAGGCCGACCACCACCAGAGGGTGGTGGTCCCAGGTGTCGGGGACCCACAGCTCGATGACTTCCTCCCTCAAGCGCGCGCCCGGGTGAAGGCGCCCGGACAGCTCGAAGGGGGGGGGGGGGGGGGGGGGCGCTTTTTAGGTGTTTCGGGGGTTTCGGGGGTTTAGGGGTTTAGGGGTTTAGGGGTTTAGGGGTTTAGGGGTTTAGGGGTTTAGGGGTTTAGGGGTTTAGGGTTTAGGGGTTTAGGGTTTAGGGTTTAGGGTTTAGGGTTTAGGGTGTAAAGTCGTACGGTAGTTTGACTAGGTTACCCAGAGTAGGCCCTTGTTCCTCCTTCTTGTTTTAGAGTTGGGGTTCCCTTCTATAGGCCCCTTTAGACCAAAAAGGGTACCCATTTTTGCTGCTAGGGTACTCCTGGGTCTAGTTGACAGCGACGTGGTAATTGGGTACACTTCAGGGGTCCGCACCCTGCTCTCTAAACACCCCCCCGCCCCCCCAAAACCCCGAACCTCTAAAACCATGAAGTCCGAAACACCAACATCTGGGTACCCTGAGCTCGCAAGGAAGCTTTCGGAAGATACCGAGGCCCGAAAAGGCCCCAGAGCAGCCCTAAACCCTTAAGCCCTAGACGGCTTAGGGTTGAGGGTTGCTGGGTTTCTGGGTTCAGGGTTGAGGGCAAACGCGAACACACGCAAACCCTGGCCCTCTACTGAACCCACCCAGAGACTCCAAAACCCCTTAATTAAGGAATATACCTTAAATCATATTAGGGTTCCTATTATAATTTAAGGTATATTCCTTATTTAAGGGGTTTTGGAGTCTCTGAACCCACAAGCCCGACATCTGGAGGTGAACATGACGAGCCTCTAAGCCTCCAACTCGCTGGCGCCTGAGATGTCTGGGGCCCCAAGCCCCAAGCCCTAAACCCTAAACCCTAAACCCTAAACCCCAAACCCTAAACCCTAAACCCCAAACCCTAAACCCTAAACCCTAAACCCTAAACCCCAAACCCCAAACCCCAAACCCTAAACCGTAAACCCTAAACCCTAAACCCTAAACCCTAAACACCAAGCCGTGACATGGCCAATCGGACTTTGATGAATCCTCGAGGTCGGCTAGGGATTAGTCCTCACTTCGACAGAATACAGGGCCCTTGTAGGGCATTTAGGGTTTAGGGTTTAGGGTTTAGGGTTTAGGGTTTAGGGTTTAGGGTTTAGGGTTTAGGGTTTAGGGTTTAGGGTTTAGGGTTTTTGTTTGCAGGGCTGAGGGCTCGATATACAATGGGAGTGCGTGGGGATGTTGGGGCGATCCAATTGGCTCCCCGTAACGTGAAACCTCTACTGTACGCCCTCAAAGAGGCTTTCGAGGTTCACCCTAAACCTTCAACCCTCAACCCTCAACCCTAAACCCTAAACCCTAAAAGTGTAATTCCGGGGCCCAGAGGTTGAAGTAAGCCCACGGAATCTCCTCTTTCAAACTTCCAGGAAGCCCAGTGGCAAGTTTCCCCTTTGTTGGTACGGCTCAACCAAACAACGCCTTTAAACCCTTTAAACCCTTTAAACCCTTTAAACCCTTTAAACCCTTTAAACCCTTTAAACCCTTTAAACCCTTTAAACCCTTTAAACCCTTAAAACCCTTTAAACCCTTTAAGCCCTTTAAGCCCGGTAAGCCCGGTAACCCCTTTCCTTAAACCCCAAAAAACTCTTGAAATCCCTAAATCCCGCCCTCAACGCGTTTTCCCCTGCTTTTTCGGGGTCAACCAACGCCTAAACCGGGGCTTCCGCTCTCTCATCAGGCAGCCATCAGTTGGTTGACGCCGAGATGTGATGGGAAGCACTTCTGCGCACCCGACGTGAAGTTGCCGAACCTTGAAGCCCCCGAAGCTCCCAATAAAAACAACCGAAAAGCCCTACATGAAAACTCCAAACCGCTTCTCTAAGGTTTAAGCCTAAGCCCGAAAGCACTTGACCTCCGCCCTACCGAAAGGCCTCAAACTTCGAGTCATAAGCCCAAACCCGAGAACCCAAAACTTTGGGTAAAGGTATAGAAGGGGGACCTCAAGTTTTTCGGAAACCTCCAAAGTACTGGCGTGCATGGGACGTTTGTCTCCTGGGAAGAAAAGCTCGACAAAACAGGCCTCCAATGGGGGTTTAGGGCCTTTAGGGTTTAGGGTTTAGGGTTCAGGGTTCAGGGTTCAGGGCTTAGGGTTTACGATTTGGGGTTTGGGGTTTTGAGCTTCTGGTTGGGGTGTGGCCTTAAGACCGATCCAATGGGTGCCGACCACCATGGCCCACGGACCACGAACAGAGCAGGATCTTCACGTCAAGTGCAGCCGACGCATACTGGTTCCTAGTGGGGAATGCGGACATAAGGGATCTTGCATTCCCTTATATATTCAAACATGTGAAAATGTATGCATGTATATGTCCCCATTTAAGGGTTGTGTCGGGTGCCAAATTACTAAGAACCAGCAAGTAGCACGCAACAGCGGGTGGCATGCCGAGCCAAGAGGGGATTCCCAGCACTTCAGTGCTGCTGCCGGCTTTAGGATTTCGGGTTCAGGGTTCAGGGTTTAGGGTTTCGGGTTTAGGGTTTAGGATTTAGGGTTGGGGTTGACCGGGTCTTTGAGTTGAGTTTAGGCTTTAGGGGCTCAGGGAATCCCTCCCTCTGGCCGTGCGACCCGCGGGGTGATGGCTCTGTGCCGAAGGCACATTCTCGTGCGACACGGGAGGAGGTCAAGACGTTTTTTTCTTGACCAGGGGGCCCCCCTAAACCCTAAACCCTAAAAAAACCCTAAACCCTATACCCTATAAACCCTAAGCCCATGTGCAGCAAGGCTTCTGCAGAAAGTTCTCTAATCTCGGTAGGCCCGTGGGGGCTGCTGGGACATTTTATGTTCTACCGTATTTGGGTTTAAGAGGATCTGGGTTTAGGGCTTAGGGTTTAGGGCTTGGGGTTTAGGGTTTAGGGTTTAGGGTTTTAAGGGCCATCCTAGTGATCCCCCAGGGCAGTTGAACAAAAGAAGAACTTGGAAAGCGGGATGTTACAGGCACACCAAGGGCTTTGATCCTTGGCAAAAGGGGCCTGCACAGAAACGCTGACGCTGTGCCACCACACCGATGAACGTGAATGCGCGGTTTAGGGTTTAGGGTTTAGGGTTTAGGGTTTAGGGTTTAGGGTTTAGGGTTTAGGGTTTAGGGTTTAGGGTTTAGGGTTTATGGCCCCCGGTTTGTTAGCACTATGTTTCGACTAAAGTAAACCCCAGAAAGTTGGAACATGGTTTAAGGATGATTAGAGCTGGGATTCCCTTTAGTAACCCTTTTGGGGTATGGGGATACGGATGTTCCAACTTTTGGAGTTTTCTGTAGGCGGGGCTCTCTTTGATTCAGGGTGTGGGGTTTTAGATGAGTCCCAGGTGTGTCACTCTAGTCCCACAGCGAGCAGAAAAAAGTGCAGGGTTGGTGGATGCGAAGCGCAAGTCGCCTACTATAGGGGTCGGAAAAATCACTCATAGTATTCCCTATTAATAGGAGGATTACTCCGAAGCCCTATTTTCATTATCAAAGCCCCTGTATTATCCTTGCATGCACCTTCATCCATATCCCATTTCCACATAGCTCGTTGCTTCGCCATCCTCCCGTGTGCCTCATGGGTCGCTGCACGGTTTCAGCTTTGAACCCGCAGACAGCGCTCACAAATCTCCGAGCTGCAGCGAGAGGTTCCTAGGTCGGCCCTGGGGGGGGATGCATCTTGGTAATTTGTTCACCTTATTCTTGGGCTTAAGAATATTTACAACTACTCTTCGGAGGGTTACAAGTTTTAGGCACTCGAAGGGCCTTCCTAGGTTGTTTAGACCACCTGAGACAAGGTCCAGACGGTGGCACCCTGCAACCGTTGCAACTTGCAACCGACCCCCTATATTCCGAGAAGGAGACCACGTGAGTGCACGTAGCACCAGGTAGCATTGGGGCGAAGGGCTGGGTGAAGTCAGGGTCCCCTTGTTTAGGGTTTAGGGCTTCAGGTTTAAGGCCCGTTGAGGGTATTTTAGCAGGGCTCCTGATGAACGTAAGACCCCTATCTAGAAGTAGACTCCAAGTCGGCATGGGGAGCAAACGGAAGAAGCCCCCACCGGCTTGTTGTGATACAAACTGGGCAAAATTCGTGGTGCCCTGAGGTTAGCCAGAAGTCAAAATGGAAAATGTGGACTTAAGTGATGAGAGCAATATACATATACATACCGATATATATATATATATGCTACTCCCCCCCATCGGCCTACCCTTTTTAGGCCTTTTTCGGCCTTTCTAACAAAAAATGACAAAGAAGGCCCAAAAGTCGCGTAGTTAATCACCGGGTAATGAAGGACAGTTACTGGGACACCCACCTCACAGACCCCGATAAGCTAGCATTGGAAGAATCTACATTTTGAATCTGAAGCGGACAATGCTGTTTTTAGATGTTTAGATCAGTGTTTTTCTATGCAAATTGTGCGTTTCAAGGGCAATTAATGTTTTGTTGAGCAACTAATTTATTTATACAATTGTGTTTGTACGAGGCAAAGTATTAATCAAATAGTGAAACATTTTTCTTGGTTCTATGCGAATTTAGCTACTAGAGTAATTATTAAGCAAAGAGCCCAATTTGACTCAAGTGAATACTATTTAAAGGAGCATACTCAACCAAGATACGAAATAAACACCATTTTCAACCAAAAAATGGCAAAGTGTGCGTTTAAAGTGCAAATACTGTATTTATACAATTGTGTTTGTACTAGGCAAAGTATGCTCTCTGAAAAGTCCACTGAAATACCTTATGTTTACATATTCATGAATCGTTTTTGTTTTTGAAATAATCATTTTATGCGAATTTAGCTACTAGAGTAATTATTAAGCAAATAGCCCAATTTGACTCAAGTGAATACCATTTAAAGGACCATACTCAACCAAAATACGAAAGAAGCACCATATTCAACCAAAATATGGCAAAGTGTGGTTTAAAGGGCAAATAGTGCTTTGTTGAGCAACTAATGCATTGAAACAGTTGTGTTTATACCAGGCAAAGTATTATTGAAGTACTATCTGCAAAGTCAAATGAAACACCTTATGTTTACATATTCATGAAACAATTTTTTTGAAGTATTCATTCTATGCGAATTTGACTACTAGAGGAATTCTTAAGCAAATAGCCCAATTTGACTCAAGTGAATACTATTTATAGGACCATACTCAACCAAATACGAAATAAACACTTGCGGACATGGAAGCGGTTCTACCTACATAACAATGAGACAAATTGCTGAAGTATTCACTAAAGACCACTTATATACTATGTCTGAAAAGCACAATTTGCATGAGCAAGCTTAAAGATGCACAATAACGGAAATAGAAGCGGTTCTACTTCCATAACGATGAAACAAAGATGTCTGAAGTATTCAATAAAGACCACATATATACTATGCTTGAAAAACGCAACTTGCACAATCAGGCTTAAAAAATGCACAAGGATCCTAGAAAAGTACTTAGTGAAGGCCATACACAAGCAAATTCACAAATACATAAAAACATCCAAAAGCGCAAGCTTTTCAGGAGAATCTCTGGTAAAGTTTGGATTATAGGGTTTTGGGGTATTCCTGGACGAGTAGGAGTCACTTTTTAAGCAACAATTCTAAGCAATAAATGCTTTTTCTCAAGACAAGTATTGCAAATGCTGCTTCTAGATAATTAATCGCATTTACCAGGCAAATATTATCCATGCGAATTGAGCTACCAGAGCACCAAGTAATGGCTGAATAAGGTCTACTACACTTGAGTACAACCAAAAGATGCACTAAACACTAGCGGCTCTACTTACATAATAACGTTCTGAAGCAC